TAATTTTTAAAAAGTATTTTTTAATTTTTTAGATTTTATAACATTTCATCAGAAATTATATTTACAAAAAAATCTTAAAAATCTTACGATATTTCATAATTAACATATATGAAAAATTCTGAGAAAAGATGTAGATTTTTTGAGAAATATTTCAATTTGTATGAAAAATGTGAGAAAATTATAAAATTATAGAGAAATTCTGAAAAATTACATATTCTGAGAAAAATTTTCACCAGGAATATTACAAAAAGTTTTGATATTCTAGTAATCGGTTTGAGCGTCCTATATGTAATTATTTTGATAGTCCAACAGAATTTATTTTCAGATCTATATCTACCCAAAAAGAACAAGAAAATCGAAACAATATCAATTTGATGTTATACTGACGAATTTACGTTATTTTTTTATCATGATAAAAATCTCAAATGATCTAAGAATGACTTTATATATAAGTCATTCTTAGATTATCTGAGATTGAGACTCTTATCATGATCAAAAAATAATATAAATTCGGAAACTGTTCTTTCCGTGTAGAATCATAATATCGCACCGACTAATTAGCGCTGATTAATTCTATTCTTATTTATCAGAAGTCGTGATAGAGGGAGAATTCCGGGACGGCATGCTTCATGGTCATGGAAGTATGTATTGGCCATGTGGGCAAAGAATGGATGCTGTTTGGAATCGCGGAAAAATGGAGCAAAGGCGCTATACGTTCGCAGACGGTTTATCGTATCGAGAAAACGATTGGGATTATTGCACATATCCCGATAGGCGGTTAGCATTAGCTAGCAAATTCTTAACATAGCAGCTAAACGAGAATTCATCTCACGTATTCATGGATAGTAAAATTATTTCAGATTTTATAAATGCGTGGTGAATGGACTGAAACCAGCCGGAGAAGTACTGAAAACCAATGACCAACCCACTAAAATTATTCCTCCGTTCTGCTACGACAGCGGTACTGGAATATTCGATCTAAATAGTAATTGCGTAACGTCGTATCACAATTGCAAAAAAGTAAAGATATCTCTTGGCAGTGATAAAGATGTGAACAACAAATACATATCTATTCTCGTGAAGGACTAATGTAGGTTTCAATTTAATAAATTACAAAGGTGCTCAAGATTCCAACGGCGATAGAAAGTGCATGGATAAAAAACAATTGCCGAAAAGGCTGGTCAGAGCCAACTGGTCATCGAGAATGGTTACATGAATATTGGCAATCGGCAGATTTTGCAACGTTATCACGTGTCTCGCAAGATAACGATGCGGGAATTTGGTGGCAAAGGTATAAATACAAATATTTTAAACAATTAAGAATAATAAAGTTATATAATATCAAATATTCTAATAAAATAATATAATTATATATTATAAAATATTATAATGAAATATCATAATTAATTCTTGTTTTAATTACACTATTTAAGGTTGACAGAATTTGCCAGATACTCGCCCACTGACGTGATGAATAAAAATTAACACAATTGTGCTTAATGCAATGATCAAAAAGTTATAAAAAAAAATATAGATTGAAGCAATTAAAAATTAATACAATAAGTAACATGTACAATTATATAGAATATATATATA